ATATGACAATATGTTGATGTGAATGAGTTATATAATACATTATATCTTACACAATGTATCATGTACTGTATTGCAGGATGGATACATGCTATTAATGTTGATATGAATGAGTTATATAATACATTATATCTTACACAATATATCATGTACTGTATTGCAGGATGGATACATGCTATCAATGTTGATGTGAATGAGTTATATAATACATTATATCTTACACAATATATCATGTACTGTATTGCAGGATGGATACATGCTATCAATGTTGATGTGAATGAGTTATATAATACATTATATCTTCATTAAAAGCTAATACATTTCGTTCATCAAAACCAATCAAGTGGTTTTATAAAAGTGGTGTACACTTCTTTTCTAGTCCGTTGTCCCCTTCAAAAGCTAGTTTTGCATACTGCGCATGCGCAGATGCATTAAAATGAATGGACAACAACTGCGCATGCGCATTCTGATGGACAACGGACTTGAAAAGAGGTGTATCTATAAGTACATACAGAACGTGCAGTGCTCATTGATCACATGACTCTCTACCGTACTATACCGCGACCATAGATAACAAGGTGTGGCTATTTTACCACACCAAAAAATTTTGCAGTATGGAAAATGGTAGTTCCTTTTATTTAAAAATTAATAATTTAAAAATTAATAATAATTATTATAATTTTTAAAATCTTTTTAAAGGCAGGAAACCCTGATCTAATCACTCCATTTGGAGCTGGTCCCGTTACTTGGATATGACCTATAGTTCTGGCCCTAGGCCTTGTCCAATTATGCTAGCATAATTTTGAGAATAATAGGTACCAATTTGAATAGCAGAATTATTCCAGAATAATGGGTGGAGATCTTACATTTAATGTAAGAAAATAATGATTTTAATAATTATTATAATGATTTAATAGTTCATTTAATTATTTGATTACATTTAATTTAATCAATAGGTACAGAGGCATAATTTTTATTAAAATTCTATTTACATTGTAGTCTGCCTGTTATCATTTTCGGCAAAGTAGGGTTTGAAATTTTTGTATTATTTTCATGAATAAATTATTTTTTTATTAATTAAAGTTTATTATTATTAATGGGGCGTATTCATTACTCTGATTTGAATAGTTAGAAATTACAGTCAATGGGGCAGGAAGTGTATTACTAGTGCAATGTCAATGGCGATGCAGTCCAAGATAAGGCCTTGTTGCCAGGTAGTGGAGCAGAGGAACTGAAAGTTGCTGGGCTCAAACACTTGCTTGAGTCCATAAGAAAGTCCATGTAAGGAAGAAAAGCTGGTTTATAAGGAAGGTAAGAAAACATTAATTTGTGCAATACCTTTCTTCCTTACATGGACG